GCAGGAGTTTTCTAAAATGGGGAGTACTTCTGTCAAAGAGGGACGATTTGTGAATTTAGAGCTAAAACATTTTATTCCAAACCGGAAAAGGTGGAGACTACCCGTAAAGGGGGTTGGGAATATAAAATTTAGGGTACGGAGGGGTGTATACTGGTACGGAAACAGTTCTCGGACGTGGAGATATCTACAATTGAATATATTCCTCCCCCCTCGTTATAAATGAATGTTGCCAACTTGTCAAAGGTGGCAGAAGGATTGATAGTCAAAACCAATGGGAAGAAGGCAGAGATCTTGTCCAACCAGCTTGCTTTGATCTCTGTTGCCTGTCTTCACAATTTTGTACCACCCTTCTATTTTGACCAAAATCTCAAGTCAAATAGTACCTTGATCCACGATACATTTTTATGTACAGCTTGTACTAGGATCCATCCAAATAGATCAAGTTTGCTCCTTGCTGAGCAGCTGGATCAGCAGCTGCTGACCTGCCGGCGTGCCCCTAGCGGGGCTAGTACTGATCCTACGTAGGCCTACGTACTACAACATTTAGCAACTTGGGCTGCGAGTTGACAACTTTGATTCAAAGTTCTTAACTTTGTTTTAACCCGTACGTATTCAATTGTTACGAAATCAATTGTTACGAAACGCGTAGTAAGTATTCGATGCGATCTGAAACATCATCACATGGAATCAATCCAATAAAAAGGCAACCATTGCAACCATCGAAGTACAGTACGTACTACTTGTACCTCCGCAGCCCGATAGAGCAAGTTCGAAATTTCCCATCGGCATACCGTACTTCTTTCGTCACCCGATGTTACACTGAAACAGCAGGATGCACCCCTTTCGGACCCTGGCACTCGTCGCCATCACGTTTCCGCTCCTGTGGCACACCGACGAAGCGGCTTCATCAAGAGATGCCTCTGGTGGATCTCGTCTGATACTGCTGGATGTGGACAACACTATATACCGAGAGGAGTACGCAGGCATCGAGTCCCAGATCGTTCATGGAACGCACTCGTACTGTCGTGATGTTTTAGGGATGGACAAGGAGACCGCGGACGATCTTTACAAACAATATGGTTCGACGATAGAAGGCCTGCGACACACCACCTGGAAGGACCTTTCGGAAGCCGAACTCCGGGAAAAACTGTGGGGATTCTACCACGCGGTGTACGACGTGGTTGACCCGTCTTCCGTTTTGCGGCCCGAGACGGATGCCGGCGGCAGCGGCAGCACCGGATACTCCCACGATTCCAGGGAAGAAAACAAGATGGCGCGCCAGCTCCTGAAATCCAGTCCCCTGCCACTGGCATGGGCCTCCAATTCTCCTTCGTGGCACGTCCGTAGGGTGCTCCGTGCGCTGGGTCTGGCAAGGCTATCGTCGCCGGGAGACCGCGTCATGTTTACGCCGGATCGGCTTCCTTGGTATCCCACGAAGAATCAACCCGAAGCTTTCTTTGCTTCTTCAAACGACGAGGACGGGGATGATTACAGCAGTTGTCTCGACCTAGAGAAATCCATCAGCTTTCTAGACGACTCACTTTTCAATCTAAACCGTGTCCGAGAAGCCTTCCCCCACATCGTCGATAGGGTCCACCACATCAACCGAAAGCACGAGAACGAAAGGGGCGAAAGTTCCAAGCTCGTTGGGAACGGCGAGGAAAATGTGGTGCAGGCTCTTCTCCAGGACTTCGGATTGATCGACCCCGGGTTTCGTCTGTCCCAAACCAAATACCTTGAATCCAAAAACAAGGTAGATATTAAATCCCTCAATGTTGGAATATGGAACAAGGTTGTTGGTGAGCTGGAAGATAAATTGCTCAAAGGGGTACCGAATGACGGCAACCAACTCACGATTGTGGATCTCGGAGCCGGCCTCCTGTCGATGCTGGATCTGCTCCTCCACGGGGACGACGAAAACGGATTGGCAGCTCTGGTCTCAGCTGCCGATTCGAAAGTCAACACAATTCGCTACACCGCGTACGAGTCAAACCAAGAACTCTACGAATCCTGCAACCAGCGATTGCTTTCTTGGGGGTTCGGCGTCGTGGAAGACGGGACGAGCGACGCCGTTGACTATCAAAAAGAGCACAACGGCAAAATGTTTCGAGTGAGACTAGTTCTTCGTAACTTTGTTGAAGGGGACAGCGGCGATCTTGCAGAAGGAACAACGCATCCCGATTTGATCATAGGATGCTGCTTCGCCGACCTGATGGATCCCGAGCAACTCGTTCCAGACCTGATGCGCTCCTTTGGTCTTGTCAATTTACCCTCGTCGCTATCGACCAGAGGGACCTTAATTTACTTTCCGATTACCTTTACGGGAACTACACAATTTCTTCCGCCCGGCCCTTTTGGTTTTCGTTCGGATGGAAAGACGATTCCGTCCGACACCGTTGGGTTCCGATCGTATTCACGAGCTCTCGACACGGTCCTCGGCCACAACCTAGATCCGCATCTACTGCAGGATATCATGGAAGACTATGGAGCGAAATTGATAGATTTTGGTGCCTCCGATTGGAAGATCGATCCGGAAAAGGATGCCTATTTGCACAAAACGATGCTGTATTTTTTCGGCAGCACCGGCGGTCCCCAGCTCCTAAAGGAAGGATGGGATGCACCGGGGTGGATCCAACGGGCACGCAACAACCGGCCCGCCATACGGGTTTCGAACCGAGACTTGCTCTTTCGGGTGTTGCCGGACGGGGAACGCGATCCCGATCACAACATAGATACCGAGGCGGAAAAGGAGGCTCAACTCTCGGAGATATCGTTCACCGCACCATACCAGGTAACTACGGTACAAAAGGACATTCCGTCGCAGCTCGGTCCCAGGCAAGTTCTAGGTAAGTCCATGGTCGGCCTCGAGGATAAGTTCTCGACACCATTGACATTGGCTCAATCCAATTTTATTTAGTTCGTGCCTCCTACTCTTTGATAAGTTCTGGAACAGAACTCAAGATCTTCAAGGGCAATTTCGACGACGACGCGGCCCTCGATGTCAATATCAAGGACATGGAAGACGAGCGGATGGCCTACCCCCTTTCGTACGGATATTGCTTGGTCGGGGTTGTTGTGGATTGTGGAAGCGATGTTTCTCGCAAGGATTTTGTGGGCAAGAACGTCTTCACCTTCTCTCCGCATTCCACCCATGTTGTAACAGACGCCGATGCGGTGCAGATTTTGCCCAGTGGGATCGATCCAAAAGACGCTATATTCATGCCATCCGTCGAAACGGCTCTGTCGCTGGTACACGACGCCAACGTAAGAATCGGAGAAAACGTGGCCGTGTATGGGCAGGGGTTGATTGGTCTCCTCGTAACGGCACTTTTGAGCCAAGGGAGGAGCGACGAACCGGGTGGCTGGTTCAATAGCATTACCACGTTTGACATGTTTCCCGACCGTCTTGCTGCTTCGTCGAAAATGGGAGCCTCCCAAGCCCTTGTTCCGGGAAACAAAGATCACGAAGGCTTCGATGTTTCGATAGAGGTGAGCGGGAATTTCCGAGCGTTGCAATCTGCAATCGATCAGACACTGAACGGCGGCCGGGTGATTGTAGGGTCATGGTACGGCAGCAAGGACGTCTCGCTCAAGCTAGGAATAGACTTCCATCGAAGCCACAAGACTATCCAAACGTCACAAGTCAGTGAGATCCCGGCAAACTTGTCTCGGTTGTGGAGCAAAGAGAGACGATTTGCGTACACATGGGACTTGGTGAAGCAAATACGGCCTTCTCGATTGCTAACCAAGATTATTTCTTTGGACGAGGCCCAAGATGCTTACGAAGCCCTAGACAACGGTTCCGAAATCGCCATTGCTTTCGATTATAATAGGTAACCTAAGTTTCTTTTTTAGAATATACTCGAGCTAAAATACCGCGGGCCGGTGCACCATATGTGTCAATGAAACACTCTCCGGCGGTAGAAGAGAATATACGCTGCCGAGGATTGGACTTCCGAGGGCTCGACGGGGTGCACACTGGAGTCATCGAATGCATTCCATTCCTTTGAAATGCCCGTCTCGTCCCATTGCATCGCGAAGGAAGTGTAGTGGCCAAACCCCAGTCGACCATAGTGGTTGACGACTGCAAACAAATCGTAATCGGCCGGAACGTAGCTGTTCGCAAAATCGTTCTTGTCCGTTGTTGTGTTCGAGCGGGCACAATGGGCGTTCATGTCCAAGCCCGCGAGCGGGAAATCGACGTACGTGGTCAGTTTGTCTCGCCGAAGAGCATGCTTGAACTCAAACCGCTTGAGGTGAACCACTAGGATGTTTGGTAATCTCCAGAGTTTCATCGTCTTCAATGCTTGAACGTGGTCCTTGCACCTCGAACAATACCACATGTTGTTTCTATCCAATCGTTCTGGTCTCGAGAAGGAGTGAAAGCATTGATCTAGTGTAACACCCTGCTTCGTCGACGACCGACTTGTTGATTGTTGCCGACGGATTGCTTCGGTGAGTGTCGGGTCGATGTCAAAGTCGAGAAATCGTTTCGGATCTATCCTCGAACCGTTCTTTTTGTTCGAGGCGAGGGGTTTCCAAACCAGATTGAGGAACAGGAAATTTTCTGCGCAGTCTTCCCCCAGAATCGACGACAGCAATGTTTTGGAACACTCCGGCAAAACACTGGTGGCACCGCTGGCACCCATTTTCGGAACGATGCGTCGTGGTCGACCCTGGGCATCTACGACGTGAACGACCAGGACTTTTTCCGGTCGAGAGCCGCCTTCCCCCGCGATCGGACCCGTGAATTCTGGAACCATTCGTCGCACCAAGCCCCGAAGAAGCTGCCACAGATCGCGGCAGCTGCTGTTCTTTGCATCGATCGAGGTCATGAAGGGCAACCCGAAATAGTTTTCCTCCGGGCCATCGCCATTGCCATCGCTTCCCGCGCCCTTGCCCCCGTCCGTGCCCCCAACAGCTCCACTCGTGGTCTGGTCGGCGTAGGCTTCGCCGCTGCGGCTTGGGTCCGTTGACAAGGAGTGCGTGACAATCATGTGCAGGGTGTCTTTTACGGTGTAAGGTGTCACTTCGTAGGCAACAATGGTGTCCTCGGTTGATTTTATGGACAGGATGCTTTGTTTGTCGTCCAGGAGCTTATAGATGCTGTTCTCGTACACGTCCGTCACGATGAGCTTTTCCGGGGGGATCTTCGACAAGCTTGCCACGGCCCGTTTCAGGTCCAGAACGGAKGCCTGCTTTCGGAGCGTCACCCCATACCGAACCGGTTTCCGGTTCCCGTCGGAAAAATGGACCAGCACCGGAACGGCCACCGTCGCCCACGCCGCACCGCTGGAGGGAATCTCCAGGGAGACGTGGTTGAAGGCGTCGAACGAAACGGAAACGTGGTTGCACCTCGGGCAGACGCAGGTCGACTGGAACTGCCCGTAGAAGGCATCCATCACGAGCGAATCGTTCCGCCGCCTGTGGGCGTTCCAGGCCTCCGCCGCCGCGATGGTCGTGTTCTGGCCATCGGTCACGTCCGGCATCTCGACGTAGGGTGCCCTTCGGATGCGGTTGAGGTCCTCGTGGAGGCCGTCCAGGAGGTAGGCCAGGAACTCCTGTGCGTCGTGCTGGTTGCGGTTCGCAAACCTCGGGGCAAACAGGGCAATGGCCCGCTTCAGGGCCGTCGGCGAAACGGCACCCCTCCCCGCCCTCATCCAGGCGTCCTTGACAAAGGCCTCGTACGCGTGGGCCAGCTTTCCCCCGGTTCCGAGCGGATTGGAGGCGTTGAGGTCCGACCGGAAGCGGTTCGAAAGGAAATGCCGCGTCAGCGGCGTCGCGTGGCCGAGCGATTGCAGGGCGGAGTTCATAAAGCAAGTGTTGCCGAGGTTGTTGAGTCCGGATCTGCCGCCCTCCGACGGGAAGGGTATCTCGGGCGGTTTCCTCGGTGCACCGGGTTCTCCCTGCTCCGCCACCACCGGCCTGCAGCTTGGCCTGTGGTACCGCCAGTGGGATTCCTGGCACGCCCTGCTACAGTACCGCACCGCCATGCACCGCCTGCACCGCAGAGAGGCTCCCGGTGCCAAGCACGCGTTGCACCGGGGAACGGACCGATCGAGCACCCCGAGCTTGCTCGATCGAAGAACCGGCCCGGGGGGATACAGGGCGATCGTCCCGTCGTTTCTCGCCCGCCGGCACAGGCTCTTGGTCGCTTCTCCGTACCACGACCGCAGCGCGCCGTACACCTCCCGTGGCAGGATTTCATAGTGGTAGCCCCGTACCAGATTCGGCCGGAGCGATGGTCGTCCCGCAACCGAGGAGTCCCCTTGCCCCGGACTGGTTTTGGTTCTATCGGTGCCCGTGCGGAGACCGGGGACCGGCAGATACCACTGCTCAAAGAAGACGTCGCCGGGTGTCACGGTGAGCTCGGAATTGTCGATGGGTCCCGGAACCACCGGCAGCGGATTGTTGTTGTCGTCTTCGTCGTCCGACGAATCGTCGTCGTCGTCGTTGTAGTCTTTGCGAAGCCTCAGGGGGAGAGACGCCCCGGGGGGCAGATACGACAGCAGCCGCCGCGACCGCTCGGATGCGTCCTTCGTCTTGGCGGCCGGGCAATCAAAGAAGTTTACGTATCGGCACCAACCGACCCACCAGTTCCATTCCAGCAAGAAAAACGCCTCCCCGGGTGCCACCCGGCCGTTTTGGTATCGCGCGAGCAGCAGCCTCAATACGTCTTGCTTTTGCTGCGATTGGAGTCCTTTTTGCGGGGGCGGAGCAGAATCGGTGTTGTTGTCGTTTGTTCGGTTGCCATCGCTGTCTGTTTGTTTGGGTCCATCGGGCTGCCACCGCCGGGTTTCCTGCCGATCGTACTCCTTTTGCAACCGGTCCAGAGATCGCCGGCACTGTTTCAGAATCCCGGCATTGCTCTTTCGCTTGTTTTCGTTCGTATTGCTGCCGTCGGTACCGCTACCGGAGGATGATTGCTGCACGGCTTGTTTCAGGTCGGCAATGGCCCCGTCGAGCAATTCTTTCTTTCGTTCGATGAACTTGCTGGTTCTGTTTTTCTCACCCGCATCATCAACGCTGCAAGCAAAGTAAGAGCCCTCTCTGGCACACGCACGTCGATAGAGAGCTAAATAGACAGCGAAGAAACAATGAGTCCCGGTGCTGCCTGGCGACAAGAAACAGGACATCGAACGCAACGCAACGAAGAGCAACCCAACCGAATTGAACGCAACGCAACCCAAGACAACGCAACGCAACGCAAGGCAACCCAACGCAACGCCAACACCCTTTGAATCGTTCGACAGCGGCGGGGAGCCTCGTACCTTTGCTGTTGTGCGGCGATATCGATAGCAGCGTGCTGCACTCCTCTTCGGCCCGGTCGTATCGCTGCAGTTTCAGGAGGGAAAAGGCCGCGTTGGACCGGAGCGCGATTTCCAGGGCCCGGTCGTCGGTGTTCGTCGGCTCGGTGCCCGTTTTCCGCTGTTGTTGTTGTTGTTGTTGTTGTTGTTGTTGTTCTTGTTGCTCCAGTGCCTCCAGCCCGGAGCGATAGGCCGCCAGGGCTCCCTCCCAGTCCTCGTTGCCAAAGCGAACGTTCCCCTCGGCCTTCCAGCCGAGGGGCGACCACGACCGTGGTTCCCCCTTGCTGCCCACCGGGGAAAGACCCGCACCCGAAAACGAGCGTCCGTGGGAGGCCTGGTTCTGCAGCGGCAAAAGCCGCGGCGGCCGGTCCGCCGGCCCTTCGTCCGTTTCGGGCTCTTCCGCAGCCGCCCCGCCACCGGGCACCCTGGCACCGCCTTGTTCCGCAGGAGATTCCCGTTCCGTCGCCGCGGTTTCCATCGAAGCAGAGAAAGGGGATTCGGAAGGATGCCGGTGCACAAAGCCGGGGTGTGGTGGTTGAGAACAAGCTTCTTGGAGTGCTGTATGTGTGTGTTGTGTTGTTGTGTTGTTGTGTGGTTTTGTGTGGTGCGCTGTGATGTAATGCGATGTGATGCGACGCGATGCTTTGTGGTGTGGTGTGGTGTCGTGTGTTTTCGATGTCTTTTTGCCCGATGAATTCGTTGTTTTCCAGAGACCCTTTTTCGCCCTCGAAATCTGCGACACAAAATGCCACGGAGTTTGTGATACCTACCTACGGTGTGATGGCGATGGCGTCACCTCGCACTGGAATGAGTCGAACGAGTCGAATCAAGAAACCGATCCCGCGTACGAGTCCGAGTAGCTAGCGTGTCACGTCACTAGGAACTCGAAATAGTGATAGTAAAAGTACAACTAAGTACAGTTGTACGTAAGAAACAAGTACTGATCAAGACAACTAAGTACGGTATTACGCTCCGGGATGATCGTCTACTATGTGTGTAGTAAGTACTGGCGGTGCTTCCGAAAACGTAACATCGGCAGGAGCAGAACAACCAAAAAGCACCGATGGAAATAGCTACTAGTAGAACTGCTTGCTGCTAGCAACTCCTGCCGGCGGCACGGCCAATCCGGTCCACGGCGGCCGGGGCTTCCGCCGCTTCTGCTGCTGTTGCTACTGCTAGTACTCGCTGCTGCTGCGAGTTAGTACTTTCGTTTCTTCTGCTTGCCGCTCCCCCGCTGGTTGGGCAGGGCGCCCCCCCTGCCACCGCTTCCGCCGGCGTAGTACCCCTTGCGGATGCCCCTGCCGAGGTCCCCCTCGTAGGCCTCCTCGCCGGCGCCCCTGCGCTTCCTCCGGCCGCCCGAGCCCCTGGAGGTCGCCAGCTGCTCCTTGAGCTCCCGGGTCGCCATTCGCTGGGCCTCGCTGACCCGCTCCAGGAGCACCAGGACCGTCTCCTCGTCGAGCTTGTGCTCCGGGAGCTTTTTTCCCAGGAGGCCCTCGAGGCGCTGGTAGACCTCCACGTCGTACTGGGTCACCATGGCAATGGCCTTCCCGGACCGGCCCGCCCGGGCCGTCCGGCCGACCCGGTGGATGTAGTCCTTCCCGTGGCCGGGGAGGTCGAAGTTGATGACCAGGTCGACGCTGGGGATGTCCAGGCCGCGGGCGGCCACGTCCGTGCAGATGAGGATCGACCGGGAGCCGCCCGTGAACTTGTGCAGGGCCCCCAGGCGCTTGGGCTGGGACATTTGTCCGTGCAGGCAAATGGCGGGGAAGCCGAGGTTCCGGAGCATCAGCGCCAGCCGCTGGACGTTGTTGCAGGTGGCCCCGAAGATGAGCATCGACTGGCCGGCGTACTCGTTGACCAGGTAGGTGAGGTAGCAGTCCTTGTACTTGGCGGGGATAAAGACGTAGGACTGGAGGAGCTTCTTGGGGGTCTGGAACTTGGTCGAGACCTCCACCCGGACGGGGTCCTTCAGGCAGGCCCTCTGGAGCTTCTGCACCTTGGATGTCATGGTGGCCGAGAACAACAGGGTGGTCCGGTCCTCGGGAATGACCTCCAGGAGCTCGTTGAGCTCCTGCTCAAAGTCCAGGGAGAGCATCCGGTCGGCCTCGTCCAGGACCAGGTATTTGAGGTTGCGCAGGTGGAAGCCCTTGGTGTTGGTCAGGTGGTCCAGCAGCCGGCCGGGGGTGGCCACAAGAATGTGCGGGTTCCGGCCCAGGGCGATCGACTGCTGCGTCACCGGGACCCCCCCGACGACGCACAAGCTGGTGGCCCCCATGGTGGTCCCCAGGCCCTCCACGACGGCGTGGATCTGGAAGGCCAGCTCGCGGGTGGGGGCCAGGACGACGCCAAAGACGGACCCGCGGACCGGGTTCTCCAGCAGGGCCTGGAGCATGGGGATGCAAAAGGCCCCCGTCTTTCCCGACCCGGTCTCGGCCAGGCCGATGACGTCCCGGCCGGAAAGGGCGTCCGCCAGGACCTTCTCCTGGATGCGGGTCGCGGACTTCCAGCCCAGGGTGTCGCATGCCTCGACGAGGGCCTCGCAGACGCCCAGGTCGGAAAAGGCCGTCGAGGTGACAATCTCCTGCTGGTCGTCGTCGCCGTCGTTGACGTCGTTGTCGTTGTCTGCTGCTTCCTCTTGGTTCKGTGCCGGATCCTCCGGGCCATCGCCGTCGTCGTTTGCGTCGTTCTCGTAGTTTTTCTCCTGCTTTGCGGCCTCCTCTTCTTTTCTTTCTCTTCGCTTTTTCAGCTTTTTCTTCTTGTTTTTGTCGGAATTCGCCATGGTGGTAAATCTGTTGTTGTTTTTTTCCAGCGCAATGGATGATTGACTCGAAGGCTTGGAATGTCTCCACGCTGCAGTCAGTTTCTTCGAGGATTGTTGTGACGGGAAGTTTTTCTTCCCATGTTTTTCTATCGAAAACTATCGTAGGTATCGTTCCGTACGGGTCCGCTCCGGTTAATACACTACCGTACTGGAAGTACGCTACTAGTCCACGAAACAGAGCTTTCTCGCGAGTTCGTTTCACATTCCTTGTCTCGTTGTATGGTTGGTTGCAGGGATACTAGTGACTCGGTAAGTCATGTTTCCCGTTTTCCTCGATCGACTGCTTTGACCAACAGAAGAATACGTCATGCGAGAACGAAGACTCCTGGAAAACGAGAATTTTGATTTTGATATCTAAACCCGATGTTGAATCGATGATGATTGTTGTTGTTGCTCTGCGGAATTCAATTGCACCGAAAAAAACAGCGGTGATTCCACGACGAGTGTCCGTTCCTCGGTCTACATACCGGTACACACCGTCTTCTTGCGAGACACACCAGGCATCCAAACCAACACACTCCACAGACCAAACGGCAAACAAAACCCACCCCGAACTCTGTTTGGAATCCAGACCCGAATCCGGCGGACAGCACCAAGAGCCAGCAACTGCAACTGCAACCGCAACCACAACGCAAAACACGCAACGCAAAACACGCAACGCAACACAACGCCATGAATCGATCGAGCCCGGGTGCCCTGCTTCTGCTGCTGGCGGTCGCGAGCTTCCACACCAGCGAGGCCTTTACGGCACCGGTGGCGAGGACCCTTTCCCCGGCCCTCCCAGTGTCGTCCCTCCGAACGGCTACGGCCGTGTTTGCGGCCGCCGGCGACGGGGAAGCCCCCGGCGAGACAAGGGCCGCCCCCAAGCGCAAGCGCAAGCGAAAGAAAAAGGCGCAGGTGGTGGCCGAGACGGCTCCGGAGGAAACCGAAGAACCCGGGGCTCCCCCCCTTGTCCCCGACCTCCGGCCCCGCGAGGACGCCCCGGTGGTCCTCGAGGTCCGGAACATCGTGGCCCCCGAGGGGGACCCCGAGCCGAGCGCCGTGGCCAAGGCCGGCGCGGTGCTCTCGTCGGTCTCCTCGATGCTGGGGTCGTCCAAGGGCGAGCCGGGGGCGGGCAGCGAGCGGGCCGTCTCGCCGCCCCCCCCGGGCCTCGGCGGCCCCGGCCGGTCCCTCGACGACTCGCTCGACCAGCTCCTGGAGGACGCCCGGTCCATGTCGGAGGAGGGGGGGGCTTCCCCCGGGGGAAGCGGCGGCCTCCTGTCGGACGAGGAGGGGACCGGCGTCAAGCAGGCGATCGGGAACGCCCTGTCGACGGTCGTGACGGCGGATTTCTTTCTGGTCTGCGGCTTTCTGGCCTGGTTCCTCCTCGGGATCTTTTGCAGCTACGTCCTCAAGGACGACACGGTGCAGATCGCCTTCAACAACAACTTCGAGCGGCTCGTCCAGCCGGCCCTCGGGGTGCTCATGATCGCGGCGATCGGCGGGAACTTTTTCAAGGAAGAAGAGGAGGAGTACGACCTGTAGGAGATCTTGGAAACGCGGATGCGGAAGGAACGGGAAGGCTGTTGGCGATGCCGCCGGCTGCACCAGACGCACCACAAGCGCGGTCCGAGGTCTCTGCCCAAGGAATCGCGTCCTTGTACAGCTACCGGGAACACGCTACCGATTTTTCCAAAACTCTCAAGCATCTTTGGATGGCTTGTTGCGATGCACGTACTGTAGTAGAGCCACAAGACTTTTCCAACAGTAGGGTCGAGAGCAAATCCAAATGGCCTATAAAAGTATTTTGTTTTGTTTTGCATGATCTACGTACCGTAGTGCCGTAGTGTTCGTCGTTTTGTCTTGCCCCAAAAGGCACGAAACCCCAAGCGCATAGGAGAACCGGTCGGGCTTGCCTTTCCCGGAGTTTGCAGCGGGGAAGCAGTCCCACGCAAAACGAAAGGGTCGGCGTGGTGTTTGTCTTGTCTTGTCTTGCACACCCCGAACACCTCCCTGGTTCCAGTCGTTGCTCAACGACACCAAGCAACCGACGCAGAACTCGTTGGTCTAAACCAGGGACCATTGTTGGACGGAGTTCGAACGGCTGCGATTCCGTTGGTGTTGGGATCCAAACTATAGAAAGGCTCGCTTTCGGATTTTACTAATATATCCCACACTTCGGGTGCAAACCCAGTGCGTCGACACGAATTTTCTTGTTCCAACTACGAACAAAAGGGTTCTACAGTACTAGCTAAATATACAACTTCTATTGCTTTTGGGAGTGCTCTCGCAAGCTCCTTGTTCGTAGCCAAAACATGCATTAGATATTACGTAACGTAAGGTGTGTCGCGAAGAAAGGCGCGGAGAACATCCGTGTTCTCCCACCCCTCCATCTCGGCAGAGTGCATCCAATGCTTTCCGAGTGGAAAGGCGCTTCGCTTACTCGGGGATCTCGATTTCTCCCTCGTCGATTCCGGACTGGATGTCCCGGGGGGATTCTCCGTTGACGGTGCAGCCAATCGAGTTGCAGGTTCCGAGGATTTCCTTGACGGTTCCGGCGAGCTTTCTGGCGCAGGATCGCTCCCGCATCTCCTTGGCAATGTCGATGACCTGGTCGAGGGTGAGGTTTCCGTCGTGCTTGACGTTCTTGACCTTCTTGCGGTCGCGGTAGGGCTCGTTGAGGGCCTTCATGACGAGGGAGCTCGAGGAAGGAATCATCGAGACGGTGGCCTGTCGGTTGACGACCGTCAGCTTGACGGTAACGTTGAGTCCCTTCCAGTCCTTGGTGCCCTTCATGATGTCTTCTCCGACCTTCTTGGGGGAGAGACCGAGGGGACCGATCTTGGGAGCGAGGGCGGAGGCCGGAGCGACCTCACCACCGACGGTGCGCATAATCACGATCTTGACGTCATCACTTGGAGGAGGGCCCATGGTATTTATAATCGATGACAGCTATGAAAAAGCTTCAAAAAGTAAAATGTATTGTTCGGCTGTGTTGTCTGTCTACGACGACCCTAAAAATGAAGCAGTGTCGGGGAACCGGGAGGCACCGAAACGAGGGCTGCCGGGGGTTTCTGTTTGGTTTTGCGGTTCGTCGGCGGGTTTCGTGAAGGAGGAGGAGGAGCGGTCCCTCCGGTGTTTTAGTAACCATGTAACGGGTAGCAAGGTACCTGCTTCAGTCGTACGTACATTTACTACGCTACTACTATGCGTACGGAACGTGGAATGGACGCAACGTACGGGTTACCGGTAGGTGTTCTGCGTGGACGAGCAGTCTGATCATTCAAATACAGTATAATACATATTATTCATACGTACATACCATTAAATACTATTGATGCCTCTTATTTGTGTGCAGCGGGTTCTCGAAAAATGAAAGATACAGCATCACAAAACCCGACTGACCAAAACTACGAACGAATTTTGAATCTTTTGAATCATTCGAATTCTCTCGGGACGGTCGAACCGGAACAGGAGATGCCCAACGGCTTCTTTGGTCTGAGACAGAGTTCGAAGGACGACAGAGACAGAGACAGAGACGCCGACTATGGACGAATCCGAGCCCCCGACACCGAAAAAGACCACCAGGGTCTTTGTCCTCCTCGGCCAGTCCAACATGGTGGGAATGGGCACCGTCCAAGGAGCGGACACCGAGGGAACCCTCCAGCACGCCGTCCAGCAAAAGAAGCTGTACCGGTACCTGGTGGACGCGGCCACCGGCGAGTGGAAGGAGGTCGTCGATCCCTCTGTTCGGAACATCTTCACCATGGGAAGCGGGAACGACCCCCGGGACGGCGTCCGCCAGAACGAATTGCTGACGGTGAAACACTCCCGGATGATCGGGCCCGAGATCGGGATCGGCTGCGTCCTCGGCCGGTGGAGGAGGTCGGAAGCGGCCGCACGAACCCCAACCCCGAACGGCAGCAGCAGCAGCAGTAATAGAAGCAGCCACCCCAACGACGAAATCGAAACCGTCCTCCTCAAGAGCTGCATCGGCAACCGGAGCCTGGGCTGGGACCTCCTGCCCCCGGGGAGCCCGTCCTTCGAGCACACCGAGCCTTCCTCGGGGAAGAAGTGGACCTACGCGGGGTACGGCCAGTCCCCCAGCCGATGGGAGGCCGGGACCGATCCCGTCCCCGACCCTTCGTGGCACGCGGGGGAGCAGTACGACGGGGACGTCCGCAGGGCCCGAAGGGTCCTGGAGGGCCTTTCCGGAGACGGCGAAAACGACGGTGCCGTGTCCGTCGCGGGCTTTTTCTTCTGGCAGGGCGACAAGGACCGGTACGACCTCGCGTACGCGGGGAGGTACAAGGAAAACCTGGCCCGGCTGGTCCGGGCGCTGCGGAAGGACTTTGGGGCCCCTGGGGCGCCCTTTGTCCTGGCCACCCTGGGCCAGACGGCGAGAGACCAAGCCGGGACCGGTGCCGACGGGCTCATCTTCGAGGCGCAGACCGGGCTGCAGGAACTGCCCGAATTTTCCGGGAACGCGTTCTGCGTCTACTCCAAGCCCTTTTGCCACGGCGGGGCGTCAAACGGCCACTACAACCACAACGCCGAGACCTACATGGACGTGGGGCTGGCGATGGGCCGTGCCATGGTGGACCTCCTTGCGGACGATGCCACCCAGAGCCCGGGCCCGACGGGCATCTTGTAAACTAATACTCTATCTAAATTATTGTACGATTGGCAAAACTCTGAACCACAAATATCCAATTTCTGCATTGCCATTGCCATTGCCATTGCCATTGCTATTGCTATTGCTAATGCTAATGCTACTATGCGTCTTTGTTGTTGGCCTGGCATTGCTCGTACAGCAATTTCCAGTGGGCCGTTTCCGTTCGCTCGCGTTCGAGTAATGCCCTCGCGGCCAAGAGCTCGGCCCGGAGGGCCTCCTGTTCCGCGGCCTCGGTTTTGCGCTCCGTCTCTCGGACGGTCTGCAGGCGCTGGATCTCGAGCTCGTTGGAGGTCCGGGTGGCGATTTCGCCGGCCAGCTGGCTGCACAGCTGCATCATCTCGGCATCGCCGTCGTCGTTTCGGATGACGTGGTGGACCTTTTCGATTTTTCGATCGATCTCGTTCCGCAGCATCTCGACACGATAGTCGGCCTTTCCGAACATGTTCGCAAGGTTGGGGGTTTGCAGGTCTTGCAGCCGCTGCACCCGGGCAATCTCCTGGCTGAACGTCGCGGAAAGTTCGAGCCGCTCGATTTTCTTCCGCATTCGTTCCAGGATATGGGTGTGCATTACGTTCGTGCCAATGAGCTGTGCGTGGATCTCGTCGCGTTCGATAATGACGTTCGACAGGGCTTGGTGAAGCGACTCGTGGACCTGATCGGTCAGCGACGGAGGGATCAAGGGATCGTACACTATAGGTCGAAAAATGGCGGCAGCCTCGGTATTCGTGGCAGCTTGAGGGTCTTGGATTTCTCCCACCGTTCCATTCTTGGTTTCGAATTGCTGAAGTTCGGCATCGCAAGACGATAGTAGACTCAAAACACTTCCACCAAGATTTCGCGCTGGGATTTTCGGTGTTTCAACCTTTTCGAACACGTCCTGTTTCGGTGTATCAGAGTCTTCGCAGTCGTCGACAGATTCGCTAGCGCAGATATTGCTCTCATCAGTTTCAATGGTAGATTCAATGCTTTTCGTTGCACAGTCTATACCTAGACTTTCCGACAACAACATGATGGCGTCGATGGGAAGGGGACATTCGAGCAAGCTGTTCAAGAAGTTTTCAATGCATTCGCATTGGTATTGTCGAAGGCCTTGGGTGCAGTCTTCATGATCTGCAGCAGCAAGAAGCCCTCCGAGCACCCGCCCCCATGAAATCACCTTTTCGGCCTGAACTGCACTGGGCGGTCTTCCAGCGGAGGGGGTACATGCTTGATCCGTGCCATAGGAGTATTTTCCAACAAGACGTGGCAAGTCAGCTTCGATCGCTTCGGAGACGTTCGAGTACAACTTTAGTACGTCTCCAAAGCTCCATTGCTTGACGATTAAACCTTCTTCAGCTTTCACAGATTTTATTTGCGAAACCTTGACTACAAAACGAGGGAAATACCGTTTGCTTTTCGGATGATCATCGGAATCGGTTCGTTCAATATCCACTTCCTCGTTGCTACTTTCAGGATGCTTATTTTGAGACGTCTCCTCAGCTTGTCCCATCGATGTAACAGGAGACTCCGTAGAAGTTTCCATAAGTGTAGATGCAGCACTATTTTCAATCTCACTAACCACCACAATCCACTTCTCTTTGAAAACCTTCAATGGCTTCACCTGTTGATCCAATGCGTTGACCGGGGGGCTGTTCCTTTCATCAATGTAAATATTTTTCAACGTCAATAATTCACCCCCAAACAAGGAGTCATCTAGTGAATCGTCTTGCTGCCTCCGAAAACTGAATCGCGAGCCACGTCTATTCGTCACATCCTGTCTAGCAGTATCTCTGTTTCGAAAGCTGGACGACAAGGAATATGTCGAATCTCTTGAAGGTTCTACGCCTCTCGACGAATTTCTAGTGTCTGTCGATGCGTCGGCAGCAGCAGAACCAAGTTCCTCCTCGACGCTCTCGTCTGCCTCTGAAAAGCTCAAAGGATTGTACTCAAGATTTCGTCTTGAAATCTCGGCCCCTTTTTGACGCACATTCATCAGTGCAGATCCAAGTCGATTTTTCGTGACCTGCCCAACTCCTGAAAGCTTTTTGCCAAACTCTGCTCTTCTCGATGTGGTCGAGCTCGAATCCAGGGTAGGTGTTGTGCTACGTCCATCGTCTGCTTCTGAATCTTCCACAACAGCATTTGGCAATACCGATGAATCATCGTCGTGATTTGATTGATCCATAGAGGATGCGGACTGCGTTTGGTCGGTCATCTCTCCTCTTCTGAATCTTGCAGATTGAAATGCCGACGATAACCTGTTTCCGATCCCACTATTTCTTATGCTAGCTCTCACAGGATTATCATTCTGGTCTCCTATTCCAACAGACTGTGACGCATTATCATCAATCGCGTTTTCGCTAGATGATTGGATAGTCGCGTCACTGAAAGACAGAATTGCAAAATTTATTTCCCTTGTCCAGAGCTCATATTCCTGTGCATTGCCTGTTACAAAGTAGCGTATCATACCAGAGCTCTCAACAATTCCAAAAGCTCTCTTGGTATCCTGTTTACTGTTCCCACCGGAAAGCGCATGTATTTTAGCATTTACCAACGAGATGATGTCAGATGGCTTTGGCTCCCCTGGACGCGAGTACAGAATAAGAAGTTCTTTTCGAAGAATTGCCCAAAACGGCCAGAGCATCGACTTTTTCACTGCTCTCTGTCCTGAGCGGTGTTGGCCCCCCATTCGAACCCACCCGGCCACACGAGATGATATCAATGACAATGCACCAAAGCGCTCCCTTTCTTTGTTGAATAGCTTGATTTTCATTGACTCCAACTCATCATCCTTTTTTTTCATGCTATTCCGAACGTCACATTCATAGCGACTGAATTCGTCGTTTGCCTTCTCAAGAAGTTTTCGTATCTCGAAGACAACAGAAGATTTTCTCTGACCCTTCGTTCCACCGTTCAATTTATTTACTCCCGAGGATGTTATGGGCAATTCTGATGCAGATCTTTTCGTTGCATCGCGGTCCAAGATTGCTCTCAAAACGGTCCAAATTTCAGCAAATCTTTCTGAAGAAATCTCAACTGCAGATTTCAATCTTGATTGAATGTTTTCAATCAGGCGTATGTCATCAATCATGATGCCTTTGTTCATCGAGAGATCTACCGAAGCACCTGAGTAAGTTAGTCTGATTTCAAAAGGATGTACCACCCTCTCAAGAATATCACCATCTTCTTCTTCGGTCATAGAAAATAGGCTTTGCCTCGAGAAAATAGATTGATAGAAACCCGCTTTGTCTGTATTGATCAATGTTGACCAATCTGTTCCTTTGCATGCTAATACCTGCTCAATCTCGCTTGGTGGTGACCCATGGATGGGGTAAAATCTTGTAATCAAATCTGTCATATTCAATAGAAAGCTGAGCTTGCTTTTCTTTTTCTCTTCGCCGTTATTCTCAGATGGTATGCTAATCATAAGGTTCGCTATCTCGGCTCGCAGGAGAATTACTTGCAAGTTCGAGGGGAAGAACATCTTGCATATTGATCGAAGCACGCGTTCCACGATGGGCTCACATGAATTAGTATCGATTTCAATACTGTCCAAATCCAAAAAGGCAACACTTTGGTCTCCTACCAACTCTGCTACAACCGAATCAAACAACGCTCCAACGGTATTCGGAGGGAAAACAGATGTTTTATTTTCCATGATCGGGTCCTTTGACCATGAAGGTAACAGCAAAGCCTCAATAATCAGCAGGGTTGCATTTCTGAATGCTTCCGCGTCGAGGTTTACTGTCGAAGGTGCGGAAACATCGGCCGCCATAGACCAAGACTGAGAATTATTTTTGTGATGAGCTTCCAATCGGAAAGCAAAGTGCTGAGCTCTACCAGATGGTTCCAATCCACAGGGCAATTGCTCACTTCCAAAAGAACACAAATCTTTAAGATCGGGTTGCGCACTCTCGTCTTCTTTTGCCGTTCCTTCACGACTACGACACACGTTGTTCTCGATCTCTCTTGCGAGATCGACAACTTTCAAGTTTGCGCTCGTGATGTACGACTTCATCACAGTCCGATGGCCAGATTTCGAGTGGAAGTCAAATTCAATACCAATTTCGAGGTCTCTCATGCCGTAGTCGACAATTGCTAAGAGGTCGATGAATTCTTCCTTGTGTTGGTTCGTAGAACCATTTGCTGACCGTAAGTTGTCACGCAGGGGGCTTCTTACCGGCACGTTCTGCCGCCAAACTTTCAGCCGAAAATGTCTCTGCTGCAGGCAAAAGATGACGACGAGGCCCCCGGTCTCTCGGCTTTGCGCCATGTGGCGTCTCGCAAGAACCCTTCGACCTCTCATGCCCTTCTTGATCTTATTAGTATCTGGTGGCGCATCCCGAGAACGGATGATGGAGTCACCGAATATTTCTATAATGTCGACAATGTTTTTCTTGTGAAACAATAGCGTACAAGTTGCTCCGGCCAATAAATCGAAATCGATGTTCAGAATAAGTTCCTGAATCAGAACCGAAAGAAACACAGTGATTTTGGTCTTGTTTTTCCCCGTTGTAGGAGCCTTTCCTTCAAAGCAGAAAATAGAGGTGGATTCACCGATAGCAACGAACTTTTGCGGCTCTGGTGCCGTGCAAAAAGGAACAACGGGAACGATGTTGACTTCGAACCCAAGCGTCGTGAGTTGCAACCGAAACGTCGAGATGCCCTGCCCCGCCAAGCCGTCCTTGTATTTGTAACATATGTCGGACGGATCGTTTGGAAAGTCAATCAATTCCGTTGCACCATCCGGTCGGTCGTCTCCGCTTATGGAATTCCCGATTCGACCGGTCAAAAAAGTGCGAGGAAGAGCCGAGGAGACAACGAATGTGGTTTCCTTCCACTTGAGTGTGATGTCGCACGACCTCAAACTCTCTTGAACCGCAGAGGGAATGCGCATTTCCATGTTCGCGAACCGGGCAGTTATGTTCAAGAGGTCGGAGGAAATCATCAGGTTCTCGTCTAAAAAGATCTGCGTGCATTCTTGGATGCATTCGTCGAGGTGCAGGGTCTCGGATGGATTGCACAACATGTCGGGAGTCAACAGGTCGATCCAATCTCCTGTATCCCACCGTGGGTCGAACCCTTGTCCGTCCATGCCCATGATGAATCTTGTTATTCGAAGAAAGACAGCCGTATCGAGAACAATGTCCATCTCATTCACACCCACCTCGTGGTAAACAATAAAACTGCCAAGCGTGACATCGTCCTTGTCCTCCAGAAAGTCGATTGTCGTCTTGAGCCCAAATGCTTGGGTGGGGAACAAATGCCGTACATCGAGAGGATCGTCTCGAAGACTCCTTCGTTCGAACAACGGGAAAAAATCGTCGACACACACTTCCCGTGGCTTGGGCGAGGGCAGGTGGCGGGAAAGATGGTCGTCCCGTTGCATCCCGCCCAACAACAGTGTTCTTTTGTGATGGCCGATGCGTTCTTGTATCGACACAAAGGATGTCGAAAGCTGCACATACATGCCTCGTTCCGTGTTGCTTTTCGGCCAGATGGCCTCGGCGACGAAACCCTTTGCGACGCATTCGAGATAAGCATTTTCCCCGTTGCCCTGGTAAGACCCCCTCAGCACAATGTCGTGGATCGAACACGTCATGGTTACGCTGTTGTATATGATTTGGTTGTTGGGCAGCACGATCACCGATCGCTCGAACCTTCGTCGGTCCTTTGCCGACGGAGTCGAGCTGCGGTGCGTAGACGACGACCCTTCCTTCGCAACGGAGGAATCTTCGGCTCCGGCACCTTCATCGGCGCTGTCTCGCGAAGAGACCGATCCGTCCTCCTCGGCCGAGCTTGCATCGCCTGTACCACTATAAGAGTCGTCCAGTGAGTCGCTATCAAAGTCGTCTTTAATTTCCCTAGAGTCGTCCGAGTCCCCCGATAACTCCGGAGACGACGACGAGGACAACGACGACGACAGATCGTCTTTCTTGACGAAAGGCTTCAAAGGATCTTCGAACGATCTGTCTTTTGCCAAACAATATTGCAGTCCGGAAGCAAAGTGTGCCAGTTGACGAACATCCCTCGAGTCGACGTCGACGTCCACTTCGGGTATTGTCACGTCGAACTGGCACGCCATGACCGCACCGTCTCGCAACCGGCGTTCCGTGGCGATTTGGATCTCCAGTTTCAGGCTTGCAATGTCCCGGTACGATTCGCCGTTTTCTTGCTCGTTGAGGCTCGGATCCTGGGGCGAAAGCCGTATCTTGCATTCCCCCTGTACCTTTCTGTAGATCAAGAAGTTGTCTCTGCGGCCCTGGTTGTGGGCCCATACACGATCGGGGGTGCCCTCGCAGCCCTCGGGATCTACCATGCATGCTTTTATGTGTTTCATTTCTATTTGGAGCAGGGGCGGCATCCATGGTCCCGGTCGCCTGGTTTTGAATTTTCCATAGGTTTGAAATTCCAGTCGGAACGATTCCAGATCGACCACCATGTTGTCGACTATCCGATCCGCCAAGCCATACGAACTTCCGACACTGAACGGCACGAAACCCTCGGACAACCGCTTTATTAGCTCGCTTTCCGTAATGATCTGGATGACTTTCAGCTCGCTGGGGGGAAGGAGGCCCAGGGGCTCCTCCACCCTGGCGATCACGTGACCAATGTCGACGATGATGGGTGCCCTTCGCAGATTGGTCCACGAGGTGACGTGGAAGCCGATCCGGCTCACATGGATCTCCTCGAGTCGAACATAAGGAAAGAGTCTAGCGAATGATTCGTTGAGCAAGGAACAATTGAGGTTGACGTCCCGGATTTCACCCTTTCCATTCAAAAGATTAGCATTTACTTGCTCTTTTCGAAAGCCTATGATGACCTGCAAGAAGACACACCCAACAACCATAAGGAAAAAAGAGGATTTTGAGTTTGAGGGAGAATTGGGTCGCGGGTTCACTTTGAGTATTCCAGCAGAAACCACCGTTGTGGGTTCGGCTGCCTCCGCCTCCGCCGCCGAGACCGATGCTACGCACCTTCGACAGCTGCTCCTGAAAGAGGCCCAGCACCAGCTGCTCCATCGTTGGATTTCTGCTGCTCTAAACAACGCACTCTTGCTTCCCAACGATGTCGGTGGAATCGCAATGGACGCCAGCCATTCAGCGGAATATTAGCGGACTGCTGGCGACACGATCAAGGAAGAAAAAAAACGCACACGATCAATTCGTCACAACTTCGGCGTCTCGGAACGTAAAATGCTGGTGGGGCTACCAAGAAAGGTTTTTTTTGTTTTTCCTCCCCCCTTCTCGTTGATTTTGAGACGGAAGATTGCATCAAAAACGAATCAGAAATTCAAGCCAACAAGCGAACTCGAGAAAGACACATACTGTACGAGATACACGTACACCCCGTCGAAAGCGGTTAATTGTACAGTTAGTAGTGGTCCAGATCAGAGCCATACTATTGTACTGTATGTACGCTACATACTATCTTAGCTAGCTGACGTGTACCGTACCATTTATTTCCCTCGCCAAATATGAAGCTTTTCCGCGCCAAAATAATGGGAAAAATGGATAATCATGAAAATGGATAAATTTTAAAAGAACTATTTTTCTAAAAAATTCTAGACGTGCATGCATGCACGGCACGCTCTCTCCGTCCCAAGATCCGAGGCGAAGCACCGAACCGCACAAACAACGAAGGGTATGGTGATTCACACATACGGCCGGGGTCCGGGAGATCGTGTTCGCGTACGTACGCACGTACGTTCCGTAGAAGAGAAAACGGGAAACAGTGACGACGAGAGAGCCATCCCGGCGGGGAGGGGAGATACGGTTCCTAGTTCACAAATCGCGGGTGCTTGCAGCCACCACACAACCGACCAGCCCTATCCGCCAGAGCAGCCCGAACAGGATCGATTGCCCGGAACCAACCGAACGCAACAACAACCATGCTGTTTTACGGCTTCCTTTGTCTCTTTCTGGCGGGCCGGGCACGCCTCTCGGGGCCGCCTTCCGCAACCGACGGCGGCACGGAAGAACCACCGGCACCGATCGTCGGGCACGGCCGCACCGGAGCGCTCGGCGCCCTGGATCCGCTGGGGAGCGACCTCGGCGGCGGCGGGCTCGACCGGCGATCGGTCCTCTCCTCGGTGGCGACGACGCTGACCACGGCGGCGGCGGCCCTCGATCCGGCCGCGAAACAGAGCGGGCCCAGCAAGAGCGACACCTACTGGCCGCTGTGGCCGGCGCTGCCGATCTTTCCGTTTTCGCAGCGAAAGACCCTGGTCCGGGAGGCCGCGGACGGCGTCTGGACCTTCGACCAGCTCATCGGGATCTACTACGTCCACGTTCCGATCCGCATGACGGTCGTGGCCATGAAGGAGTCGAGGGGCCTGCTGGTCTACGCCCCCGTCGCGGCCACCAAGGACTGCCTGGACCAGCTCCGGCCCCTCATCGAGGAACACGGCCCCGTCCGGTACATCGTCCTCCCGTCGGTCGCCGTCGAGCACAAGGTCCTGGCCGGGCCCTTTGCCCGCAGGTTCCCGGAGGCCGAGTTCTACGTCACGGACCAGCAGTACTCCTTTCCCGTGGGCCTCCCGGACCGGGCCCTGGGCTTTCCGAGCTGGACCAAGCCCCTCCCCCCGAGCAGCCGGGGCGGTCCCCCCATGTGGGGGGGGGAGTTCGAGCACGAGGTCCTGACGGTCAAGCCCGGGGTCGGTTCCATGTACCAGGACGTGGCCCTCTTCCACGGGCCCTCCAAGACGCTCCTGGTCTGCGACGCCCTGCTGGCCACCACGGAGGAGCCCCCGCCCCTGCTGACGAGGGAGCTCGAGTACGTCAAGGCCCTGCTCTTCCACGCGAGGGACTCCCCGGGGGAGATCGTGGAGGACACGCCCGAGGCCCGCCGGAAGGGGTGGAGGAGGATCGTCCTGCTCTTCAACTTTTTCATTCCGCTCCACTCCGCGAGGGTCGACCTGGGCGTCAAGCCCCTCCTGGCCCTCGACCCGTCGTACGAGCTGGGATGGGGCGGCTGGATGCCCTTTTCCTGGAGCCCGGCCGCGGAGGCCGAGTCCTTCGCGGCGTACAGCGCGAACGGTACCCCCACGGTCTACACGATCGTCCAGATCATCCTGAGCCGGGGCAACTCCGGGGAGGCCACTCTGGCCTGGGTCGACCGGGTGAAGGAGTGGCCCTTCCGGAGGGTGGTTCCGGCCCACCTCGACGCCCCGCTGGCGATCGGCCCCGAGGAGTTCTCGGCGACGTACGACTTTCTGCGCAGGGGGGAAAACGAGGTGCGCTACTGCGACGAGGACGTCCTGGTGCTCCGCAAGGCCGAGGAGGGCCCCCTGAACTTCTCGGTCTACCCCTCCGCGCTGGGAACCCTCCGGGGCCGGGCCTGCGACGTTCCGAAATGAAAGAATGGCAGCGGTGCGGCCGGGCCGTGGCACGGTCGTCTGCTAGCTAGTAGTAGCAGTGTGCCGGACCTCCGGGCAGAGAGGGCAAGCTGCGGCACCAACCAACAAAAGAGACATAAATGAATCGTAGTACGCTAATCTACCACAAAAGGCGTCGACGTCTGAAGCATGCCTTGTTCTTTTCTTTTCTAGTACTAGTAGTCAATTGCATGTCTGCATGGAAATTGTGCAACACAGAAACAGTATCACTAGGACTACTACTAGTACTACTACTACTAGTATCACCACAATCTGTCCCACGCCATGACCAACACTCTCCAATTATTCCTGAGGAACAAGAACACAAAGAGGAGAAACTAGGAACAGGAGCTGTAAGTGAAGAAGAAGATAACGAACGTCTACATCTAATACTAGGAAACCATCGTCGTGATCCCGATGATTTTCCTGTGATGCGAGGAGGATAGTTGTTCGACTTGTGAAAAAGGGGGAGTACGAATGGAAAGAACGGCGGATCGATGATGTTTCGGTTCCAAACGCAAAACGCACCAAACCAAAAACATCGCACCCGTCGTCGTCCTTGTACCGTATTTTAATATGAATCATATGGTGCTTACGTATCATGACTATGTTGCAAGAACGTGCTGTCTGAATCGGGAACCGTACAGCGAGCTTCTCCAGGAACGGAGAAAGTATTCCGAAGAATGTGTCTCATGTCGTACGGTATGCGAATGGGTGCGAGTACGAGTACGTACATTATGCGTACATACGTACATAGCTGTAGAAACGCTACGGTGAGTTATGTAATATATGGTGCATAGCAGTTTCTTGTTCACAAGAAATAATCGAAATGCGAGGAACAAGGTTTTGAAATCGTTGAGGAAACCGAAACAATTCCGACTGCAACATAACTCTTCGACGAACAAACACAAGCAAGCAAGCAAGCAAACCAAACCCTGTCGGCCCACCCTTGGGTTGCAAACAGAGACCCAGGGAACCAAAGACCCACCGCTTCCTGCAGATCCGTCCGCAACGATGGGGTACCCGGCGTCCGCGTCCACCTCCACGTACGAGTTCGCCCGGGCCAGGGAGTCCAGCGGGGCCAACCCCGACCAGATCCACTACGACCCGGAGGCGGCCTTTCGCAACCAGGACTACCGCAGGGTCTTCCACCAGGACGGGACCATCGGGACCTTTTCCGTCCGCCTCCTGGAGGCCTCGGGGCTGAGCCGGCGGTACTGGAGCGCCCTGGCGCTGGGGCCGATGAAACACCTGGGCCTCAGCAAGGCCCACGGGGGCGTCTCGAGCTACGTGAGCCTCTGCCTCGACGCCCACGCCCGGGAGCCGCCCCCTTTGCGGGCTTCCGGGGGCGGGGCCGACCGCAAGATGCCCGCGTTTCCCCCCGCGGAAGGGGCCCCGCACCACCTTGCGGACACCACCGAGGCGGCCCTCCGGCAAACCCGGTTCTCCTCCTTTGTCTCGCCCGTGGTCCCGAACAACAACGACCCCGTCTGGAACAACTGCGTCTTCGAGATCCCCCTGCAAAAGGGAGCACTGGGGGACGGCCAGCCCGTGCGGATCTCCCTGAGGGTCGACGAGGACGCGACGGCCATCGAGAACATGATCGCCATCCCGGGGATAGGGATCGCCCCGGGCCCCCGGGACCGCCTCCTCGGGGTTGGGGGCCTCGACGTGACGGCCCTCTGCCTGGGGCAGAACCCTGCGACCGGAAGGCCGGCGACGGGGGTCGTCGATGCCTGGATTCCGATCAAGCACCCCGACGACGACGGAGAGGAGTTTGGCGAGGAGGAACGCGACGACGACGACGACGCGGCGTCGCAGCAGGCACGGAGCGAGGAAGAACTCCTCCGGAGAAAACAGGACAGCGTCTACGGCGGCCCCGGCGGGGAAGCCAAGCCGGCCGCCGCGGCGACCAGCGGCGAGGGGACGGTCCTTCGGAAGCGGTCCGGCGGCCGGGTCCGGGTGCTGGTCACCTACCAGCCCCACGGAATGGACCCCCAGAAACACGACGTGGTGGCCCTCGAGGCCTTTGCCCGGCAGAACCCCTCCACCGCCACCTGCGGGTCGGTTCTCCCGCCCCTCCTGCCCATGGTGGTCGCGGAGACCGAGGGGCCCTGGCTCCTGGTCCGCTACCGGTTCCCCCCCGCGGAGAAGGGGACCCCCTTTGGCCCCGAGCGGGACCACCGTTGCGAAGCGAGGGGCCTCGCCCGGGTCCACCGGAACGCGGTCTTTGTCATCGAGCGCAAGACGCTCGCCGACGGGGCCCTCGGCCTCGCCCTGGCCCCCGCCGAGCTGGTCCTGTCGACGCCGCTGGGGAGGGGGGCGACCGAGGCCCTCGGGCCGGCCCTGGTGGCGGGCCGGAAGCTCCTGGAGCCGGCCCTCCTGTCCTCGAGGCTGCTGTGGATGGCGGTGCGGACGACGGCCAAGGCGACGGCCACGGGGGTCTCGGCGGCGGGGTCGGCCTTTGTCCGCGAGGGGGCGACCTCCCTCACGAGCGACGGCCCCCGGAGCGGCGGGAGGCGGGCGAGCGGTTCCGAGGCCGGGAGGGTCCGGTACGTGTAGCCAAGGGCGGTGCGGCGGCGCTGGGGACCAACCCCGAAACGGCGCCAAGGGGTTCCGGCGCAAGAGAATACAGTACACCGCGCGGTGCAACCCGAATCGAGCTTCCACCGCGATTGGCTTCGGAGTCCAAACGCAACACAACGAAATGCAGTTTACAATATCAGTGTTATAGATAGTATTATTATTTATTGTACTGTACCGTACCGTTCGTTCTGTACCGCAATCTGTGCCGGCACTCCTTGCCACCCGACAAAAAGGGGAATACGCCCCTGCCTTCACGACAAAGCCAACTCCTCTCTCCCTGCGCGAGGCCTGCACACCCAAACCAAGCGAACGGCCCTCCATTTTCTATAGATACACAATGGTTCGGCCCCGTCTCGATAGTGGCATCGCACGGTTTCGTTTTGTTTCCCTCGCAATAGAACAAACGCGCCCAAAAGCAACGCACCACGCCATGGTTCCGCCCAGATTATGTCCTCGTCCGTTCGCAACTCCAACCAACGGTGCACAAATACACAGATTAGCTAATGACGCAGCAGCTGTTGGTCTTTTTGGCCTGCTTGTAAAACATTTTGGACTGTGCCGAGAGATCGTTCGAGCGCTCTACCAGGTTGTCCAGCTTGACCCCACGCTCCAAAACGCTGTCGATTGTTTTGTGCAAGATCTGTGTGGTTTCGTCCAGGTCGTTCTGGATCTTGGTGATCTTGTCCGCCGCCGAGGGGTCCTGGTATTTCTGGAGATACTCCTCCATGGCCGGAAAGGCCATCGATTCGGGGGTCGTGCATGTTTTCCACGTGTCTCCGACGGCGGCCGTAAAGTCGTCCAGGAGCTGCGTGAGCAACACAAAGGCAACCCGGGAGGGGTATTCCAGATCGGTGGTGACCGTTCCCCCGAGTCCGTCCGATCGGCGATAGCAGTGAACAACGTAATTCTCGTGGGTAATGGATTGGCGTTGGCCCGGCTCTGTTCTCTTCATGAACGTCCTAGTTAGAAACCCAAGCATCTCCTTGATCGTCTGTGAGAATCCAAGCAGCGAAAACAACAACAAAAGCAACCAAAACGATGTGAGAAACGACACTAGCTTGGTTTGTCCACACACCGGTATCGAACATTGTTCTTGTTGCCCTTGACAATCCAGTTGAGACATGAATCGAACTACTGAAGCGAAATGCCAGCTCTCTCGTAGATCCGAGCTTTTTGCAGAGTGGTTTTGCGGATCTAGCGTCGTCACTAGGTTTCGATCTCTTTGTTCTACCCATCAACGAGTTTCATTCGTGCCGCCATGTAAATCAGTTGTCGCTTTAGGGTAAAACTACCTGTCTCGTGTTTGGACGCTTCGTCTCGTGCTTCTACAAAGGAGGAAGACGATTGGCGCCGATATTGTTTCAATTGGTTCGAAACGATTTGATTCTCTTTTGGTCCGGTTGCAATAGCACATAGTGGCATGCAATGTGACGCGATGCCTGGGCATGTGGTGTCTCGAAAGACGACTTTGTTTACACGACTTACCGGTCGTTGGAAAAATCCGAACGAAGAGAGTTCCGAGCTCATGCTGCAGACAATCGGGTCTTCGAGCTCGTTTCCTGTTCGTACGGTTGCCAGTGATAATACCTTCATTGTAAGAATTTAAAGAATATTGTCTGGTTGTTGTTTGGGGTAGGGAAGGGTAGAGTAGAATGGCGTTCCACGATTAGTTGGGTTGAGGAGTGTTGGTGCAGCACGCATCTACCGACACAGTCACGGTCGACATGAATAATTCATTCTCGGTGTCGTTTTTGAAATTTTTCGTCACCAACGACTACTTCTATTCTGTTCTGCCTTCCTGCCTTCACTTGCCGTGCTGTACGGTCACGTACAGTACCATCTACCTTGTAGTACCATAAATATGCACAGCGCGCATGCACCGTTGAGCAGTGAGAGTACCGTACTACTGTACGTACGAATTAAGGGGACGAATCATACACCTTGCTCGCAGCTGGCGAAGAAAAATGACAACCTTGAATTTAGTCGATTGAGTCCATTTTTGGTTTGAAATTTTCAATTTTCAAAAATCCCTCGGCGGATGGAAATTCGACGCAAAATTCACGTACTTTTTTCCTCCATAATGCCCATCCGTACCGTACGCCGTACGTTGACTACGTACCATGAGCTTGCCGCACTCCGCTCACAACGCAAACAACTCCTGCAACAACCAAACACGAAACAGCATCGACTGGGTCCATACCAAGAAAAGATCGACAGTAGGAGCCGCCGCACACATACAATTCCGAAACCATGCTGGTATCCTTCACTATTTTCCACAAGGGCGGACGAGTCCTCTTCCAGCACTCGGACGAAGCCTCCGGGGAAGACGACGATTCTCGGTCACGGTCGATCAACACCTGGCTGGAAGAAATTTATTTCAATCCCACGGTTTCCAAAACGCTCCACAAGAACCAGATCCTGGTCGATGGAACCACGCGGCAAGTAGTGGAATGGGAGGAGACCTCCGAGCTCATTGCGCTGGCCGTCTACCCCGACCTGCGCCACGAAGACTCTCCGTGGATCCGATCGCTGCTAGCGGCAAGCCTCCAGGAATACCAGGTCTTTGCTCGGGCCCGATCGGCGGGGACGGGCGAGGACAAGGAAAACTCGAACGCAACAAACGTCTTTCAGGGCCCCGCTGCCGCCAGCCCCGAAAGCCAATCGCTGTTCGGGAAAACCTTCGAAATATTGGTCCAGAAGCACCGCAGCGAATCGAAATTGTCGTCGTCGGCGGCGGCGGCTTCCGGTGCCAGAAGCAACAAAGCCTCCGGCGCGAGCGGCGGCAATAGCAACAAAGGCGGCAAAGAAAAACGACAGTGGCACGATGGAAATGCCAAGGTAACGGAAAAGGCGATGAAGGAGCTCGACAAGAGCAAGGCCGCCACGGCAGAAGCTATCGTGAAAAGCGAGGAGCAGGCCCTGGCGGAGGCAAGGGCGGCCTACCTGCCCACCGATGCAGACCTCGCAGATTTCGACATCGAGGACACGACCCAGCTCGCAGACGACGAAAACGACGGCGACGGTGACGAACAAGGAGGCAGCGGTTGGGGAAAATCCCTACAGGGCCTCTTCGAACAGATGACTGGGCAGAAGGTCCTGACCAAGCAGGACCTGGAGGCCCCCCTCACCGAAATCAACAAGCTCCTGACGAGCAAGAACGTCGCGGGGGACATTGCGGAGCAAATCTGCAACAAGGTGCGGGACTCCCTCGTCGGAAAAAAACTCAACTCGATGTACCGCGTCAAGACGGCCGTCCGGCAGGCACTGGAGCAGGTGATCGGCGAGCTGCTGCTCCCGAGCACGGAGCTCAACCTGTTGCGGAAGGTGGTTTCCAAGCGGGACCAGGCCTCGTCTTTTTTTGCCAAGAGCAAGACGCAGCGTCCCTTTGTCATTGCCGTGGTCGGGATCAACGGGGTCGGAAAGTCGACCTCCCTGGCCAAGCTGGCCTACTACCTGAAATCGAACGGGTGCAGGCCGCTCCTCGCGGCCTGCGACACCTTTCGGAGCGGGGCCGTCGAGCAGCTGGGCGTCCACGCCCGGTGCCTGGGCCTGCCCATCTACAGCAAGGGGTACGCAAAGGACCCCAGCGCCGTCGCGGCCGCGGCCATCGAGCAGGCCACGAAGGAGGGCAACGACGTCGTGCTGGTAGACACGGCGGGCCGGATGCAGAACAACCTCCCCCTCATGAAGGCACTGGGGAAGCTGGCGGCGGAAAACCAACCGGACATGGTGGTCTTTGTGGGGGAGGCCCTGGTCGGGAACGACGGGGTAGACCAGGTGCGGATGTTCGACAAGGCCGTCTCTTTCCAGAACCGAAACCAGAGGGTCAGCGCCATTCTGCTGACAAAGTTCGACACGGTGTCCGACAAGGTCGGGGCCGCGCTGACGATGACCCACGTGACCAACGCCCCGATCCTGTTTGTCGGAACCGGGCAGAAATACCACCACCTGCAAAAACTGTCGACGGCGTCGGTGATTCGGTCCCTCTTCCGCTAGCCTGCCAGCATTGGTGGGCCTCGGGCGGCCTCTGGTTGCGCACGGAGTCCGGTGCCCGCGTCGCGCAAACAGAGAAGCGTACGGTAGCCGGGCGTAACAGACTAAAACGACCGGAGAGAGTCCTTCGGATTGTAACAAAGTGGAAAAGGTGTTCTATATTATCATACTAGTGTAGTGTACTGTGGTATTGGATGGTACAGTGGTGGGAATGCGTGTGTGGTGTGTTGATACAAGGCTTGCGTCCCCTGACGCAACGCGTGTATGCTAGCAGTGAGAAAGGGCCCGCGGGTTTGTTCCGGGGCCATCCCGAAGGGTGCGTCCTTCCCGTCTCCCCCGATCCAATGGGTCCGGTCGCATCGTTCGTCCCGACTCCACGGAGCCGCGGACCTCGCTGTCTACCTGCCGGTCCCGTTCGCGCCGGGAGCAGAAGCGGCCCAGAACCCCCCGGTCCCGTCGCCCTGCCCGCGGAGGGAAGCGTACGACGGAATCCCTTTCCGCACGTGCGCGAGGGCTTGGTCGTCCTCGATCGTCGTCGAAACGGCGTCAAAGCCGTGCGAGGCCGAGAACAACGAAAGCGACGGATACGTCTGGTTGGCCGCGGTGCTGGCGGGTCCCCCTTCCATCCCGTGGTTGGGTGCTCCCAGTCCAGCGGTGGCAGTTTGGAGGGCCGCCGGCGTTGCGGTTGCTGCCGTCGGTGTCTTGGCCGTGTTGTGGCCCGCAAACACCAGGAGGAGGTCGGCCTCGGAGGAGTGCGTCGGCCTCGAAAAGGCCGCTTGCTCGCTGGATGCCACCGACGGAGCGTCGGACACCCTCGCCACGGGGTGGTCCGTCGCCGGGTAGGCGGTGGTTTCGGGAGGCTGCTGTTGCTGTTGGGCCAGGAGGTGGTTGCCGGCCTGGTAGGTGGCTTGGAAATTGGCACCGGCGGCGGCCTGGCTTTGGACGGGCGCGGCGTACCCCGAGAGGTATTCTTCCGGAAACGCGGCGGCCGGTTTCTGGTGCGACGGCAGATAGTGGCGAAAGGCGGTTGCAGCAGCGGCTGCCGCCGCCGCTCCCACGGCGCCCTGCTTGTGGCCGTTGGAAACACTCTGCGGTGGCGAGGAAAGAACGGCCTCCCGCGACGAATCGGTCGAAGACTGGTGGGCAGCTTGGTACGACACGAGGGCTTCCTTCCTCTTGTGCCGGTGGAGGTCCTGGGAGGCAAAGGCTTCCTGCAGCCGGGCCTGTTCCTCCCGTTCCTTCCGCTGTTCTTCTTCCCTCCGCCTCTGTTCCTCGGCCTCCCTCTGTTTCTGTCGCTTGGCCTCCCTCCGTTTCTGGTCGTTGAGGCGGCGTTTCTCGGCCCGCACGCGCTTCTTCTCTTCCTCCTCCTTTTCCTTCTTCTCCCGCTCGGCCCTCGCGATTTCTTCGTAGTCGATGGGCAGCGACCGCCTCCCGCACGAGTGGAGGACCTGCCTTCCCCGGCAGGCGCTGCAGGAGGCTTCGACGACCCCCGCCGAAAGACTCGGGGCTTCGGTGGAACACCCCTCGCCGCCGTTCCGGGCCCCAAAGAACCCGTGGCCGGCCGGCGGCGGGCGGGGGCTGAGGCCCAGCAGGCCGGCCACGACGTCCTTCTCGTCGCTCGTGGCCGCCTCCCTCGGGCTGGCCGACCGCGGAAAGTGGGCTTCTTTTCCGTCCGCCACGGCTTTTGGAGGGGGCCCGCTGCCCCTCCCGCTGGCCGGGACCCCCTGCCGGGAGATCATCAGCGACTGGAGGAAGGGATCGACCGAGGCCCGCAGGAGGCTCTCCAGGTTGGCCGCCCGGGACTTTCGGCCCCGGCCGGGCCGGGCCGGGAGCACCGGGTTGACGGCCATGACCACCTTGGTGGTGGTAAAGGACAGGCAGTCCTCCGCCACGGGCTTGGGCTTCTGCACGTTCGGCATCGGGTCCAGGACGACCGAGACAAAGGTCTCGCAGGCCCCCGGGGATTTCCTCTGGTCGGTGCTCCCGGTTTCCTGCTCCGGCCGCTGCTCCTCGTCGTCCGAGGACGGGCCCTCGTCGTCCCCGGCCGTGGTCTTGATCATCTGCCGCAGGTAGGGCTCCGGGCGGCAGGGCAGGTAGTCCATGGGGTGCCCGTTGTCGTTGTCGTTTTCGCCGCCACCGAGACCGCCCAAAATGTCGACGGGGGCGTCCTCGTCGGCCTCCTCGTGTTCCAAGAGGGACAAGCGGACGGCCTCCAAGAGTTCCTCGTCCTCGGTCGACGAGGCTTCGCCGTCTCCGCCGGCCGGAGCGCCGTGTGCAAGCGCGCCCCCGGCCTTGGTGTCCCTTGAGGCATCGCTTCCGCATTCGAAGGCGTCCAGGGCGTCCTCCTCCTCGAGGTACTCCACGTTGTCCGTCACCACCTGGTAGCCCGGGGGGTACTCGGAACCCGCAAAGTCCGACTCCATCCCCGGGAGCAGCAGGTGGCCCCTTCCGTCGTTCGTGACCAGGACGATCCGGTCCCCCCCCGGGCGTCCCCCGGCGATGCCGAGGGCGCCCCCGGACCGGGGGGGCAGGGGGAGGCTCATCGCCGGCACCACGCCCGACCGGTCCGCCCTCCAGACGTGCAGGTTCTCGCAGAGCTCCTTGGGGCCCCTGGCGTGGGGGACCCCGATGACGTAGGGCGGGAGCGGGCCTGGTTTCTGCGCCTGCGCCTCCCCTGCGGCGCGGGCCCCCAGCAGGTCCCCGCACTGGAGCCACGACGGGGGGAGGCCCCCCCCCGCGGGGGCCAGGCCGCTGCCCGCGCCGCAGACCGTCCCGGCCAGCCAGCAGTCCCTCCAGAGGACGGACCGTCCGTGGAGGGCCAGCTGGTCCCCGTAGACGTGGAGGAGGCCGAGGGACTCGGTGTGGTAGAGGCGGATCCCCCGGGCCGAGGCCACCAGGGTGTAGGCCCCCCCGGGGGACTGGGAGAGCCGGGTGGCCACCGGGCGGGCGTTCCCGGCCTTGGTCCCGGGGGGGATCTTGGTCTTGCAGGCGACCTTCCAGCTGTCGATGCTCCCCCCCGAGACCAGGACCAGGTCGTGCTCCTGGCCCCTGGGGGAGAGGGCGTCGAAGAGGAGCCGGTTGGGGGCCCCCTCGTCCCAGATGGCCGTGCAGGAGGGCGACTCCATCAGCATGGGCGAGCTGGCGTCGCAGATCTCCACCTTGTTCCTCGAGTGCTGGAGGAGCATGAGGGAGGAGGAGGGGGGGGAGGAATGGCCGGAAGCCTGCTCCCCCGCCTTGGAGCAGCTCACCAGGACGTCAAAGGTCCGCAGGTGCATGTCGAGCGAGGTGACGACCCGGTTGGGGGCCAGGGGGCAGACCCAGAGGGAGACGCCCGACGGGACGTCGAGGCACTCGAGCTCCACGCCCGTGGAGAGGACCACCCGGTGCTCCGTCATGGCCAGCGCGTGGATGGCCGCGTCCGACCGCTCCTGGGTCCGCAGGCGGCTGGGGCCCTGGGCCCCCGGCTTGAGCCGGCCGCCGTTGGCAAAGAGGCCGGTGGGAGGACAAAAGGGCCCGCAATGGTTGTGTGGGTGGTGGCTGCTTCCGGAAGCGTGGCTTGGGTGGCTCCCGAGGTGCCCGGTGCCTCCCTGGCCGGTGCCCCCGCCGCTTCCGCCCCGGTGGCCCTTTTTCGACCACCGGGCCCGGAGGTCGGCCCGCAGCCGGTCCTGCTCCCGCTTTCCCCTCTGCTGGCAGGCCACGCTCTCCAGCTGGGCCACCGGGAGGTTGACCTTGTCCGGCCCGAGGCTGTAGATCGTCACAAAGCCCACCGAGTCGCCCAGGACCAGGTAGCCGTGGTCCGGCCGGCGGACCGCCATGGCGGTGATCGTCCTTGCCACGGGCATCGCGGTGGAGAGGTCCAGGAGGCCGGTCTCCGGGTCGTAGTCGTCCTCGAAAAAGACCGGGGGGTCGTAGAGGGGGGACCAGTCCGGCAGGCAAGACCGCTGGTGGTGCTGGGACTGGGCCTTGCCCTTGGTGTGCTTGGGGGCGGAGGGCGCCCCCTCGAAGGAGTGCCGGGGGGAGGAAAAGGGGGTCGCGAGGCAGGGGGAGGCCCGGGGGATGCCCTCGGCAAAGACCTGGGGGTAGGCGGACCGCAGGCCGGGGCCGGTCCTTTCCGGTGGCGTCGTCGTTGTCGTCGCTGGTATCGTTGCATTGGTTGGTGTTGGTGTTGCGGTTGTGGTCGATGGTGTTGCTGTCGCTGTTGCTGTTGCTGCTGTCGTTGCTGCTGTCGCTGTCGTGGCCGATGGCGTTGTTGCTTTCGCCGGGGCCGGCGGCTTTTGGGTCCCTTCGTCGGCGCTTTCGCGGTGGTGGTGGCCGGCGCCGATGTGGTAGTCGTCGGAGCGGACGGGCGGGAGGATCGGCGCCAGGGTGACGGAATGGGGCAGAAAGGTCCCCCAGGCGTCCGGGCTCGCCCTGCGGACCGGAAGGGGCCTCGGGGCGGGTCGTTCCCTTTGTGCAAGAGAGGAAGGAACGGAGGCCGGGGGAGGGGCGGTAGGACCCTGCCGTGGCTTGGTTTCCCCCGGTGGCCCCTTGCCAATCCTGGCGCTGCCGTTGCTGCTCGTGCTGGTTCCGTTGCTCGTTCCGTTGCCGCTGCCAATGGTTCCGTTGCGAATCGTGCCGCTGCCGCTGCCCGTGTGGCCCGCCCCGGGGGCCGCCACGGGCTCCCTCGGCCGGTGCTTGGGGGGCCTCCCCCGCTTGCGCTTGGCGACGACCACCCCGCCGGAAGGAGACGCCGGGGATCCCCCCTGGTTCGGAGCCTTGTTGGTTGTGGACTGGTCCGGGACCAGCGTCGGCGTCGCGGACCGGGCGGCGGAAGGCGCAGGAGAAACGGCCTTCGAAGAAAGGGTCGAGGCGTGGTAGTACGGGGCCTTTCCCGTTGCCCTCGTGTTGTGCGGGTGCGGCTGCTGCTGCGGCTGCTGCTGTGGCTGCTGCTCCGGTTGCGGCTGCGGCTTGGACGGTTGCTGCTGCGGTCCGTCGTCCCCCGAGGCCGACCGCTTCCGGGGCGGCCGGCCGGGTCCCCGCCGGGCCGGGGGTGGCATGGACGGGCGGGCGTCCGTTTCCCCGTTCGGGGCTGCCCCTTGCGGGGAGGCTTCCCCTGGAAGCGCGTGCCCATCGTCGTGGTGTTGGTGGTCGTCCCCCTTTTTCGGCTTGGTCGTAAAGGTCGTGGGGTTGTCGTCCGTGTAGATGGTGGTGGGGGTCCTCTGCCGCTTCGGCCTCCTCCGGCTCTGGCTCATCGTCGTGGGAAGAAAGAAGGTGGTCGTCCTCGCCGCCGCCGCCGTGGAATGTTTTGCGCCGTCGTCTTGCTTTTCGTGGTGTGCTGTTGTGTTGTGTTGTATTCGTTTGTGTTCGATTGTATTGCAATGATGCGATCGGTCCCGTCGAATGCCAGCTGCCCTCTCGGTCGGTGGGTGTGGATTGGACCGCGGTGTCTGTGTGTGTGTATGTATGAATGTATGAATGTGTCTGTTTGTCTGTGTGTGACCGTGTCCGTGTCGGAAGCAAAAGGCTGTCGAACCGCCGTCGAAAAAAAACGGAATGCCGGGTCTTTTTCGTCGTCACTGCCGCTGTTTGTGCTCGCAGAACAGAACGGGGGGGTATGTTTGTGCGTCCATTTTCTAGCATTCCTACCGTACTGTACCGTACGTGTCCCTTACGATGCGATGCGATGCGATAGTGTTGAATTGAATCGAGGTGCGGTCCGCCTACAGAAAAAAAAGAACTCTGAACTGGATTGAACTGAACCGGGTGAAACGACACGAAACGGCACACGCGCATACGCAATGGTACACTACCGTACGCGCAAACCAAACGCACAAACGGGAGACACCCGATTTCCCAATGACTCCCCGAAACGTAAACAGGAACCCCGTAGAAGTTCTACGACGAGAACGCCGGGCACGGCGAGAAGAACCACCGGTGTCTCGGGGGTGCCGTACGAATGGACTCTACGGTGCGCTACGCTACGCTACCCAGCGCAGACACCGGTACGCGCCCTTCGGTGTTCCCAAAATTCTCGAATCTTGTTGACACTTTTCTCCCGGACGCCACGGCACGCGCGCTGCCCACGAGCCACGACAGGTACTTTCATCCACTGTACTACCGTACCGTACGTACGCAGAAGGAAGGCAATTTCGGCAAGTGGATCTAGAACCAGTGAAAATTCAAGAACATTCCTCCGGGCCGGAAGGAAGGAAAACAGGAAACAACGAAAAAACGTGACGCGACGTTACGTTACGTGACGTTAGGTCGACGGGTTCCCTTCGTTCGTTTCGGGCAGAGCCGAACGGAACCGAGCAAAACAGGTTCCAATCGACAGTCTACGGTACATACCGTACGTACCGTGGGAACCCAAACTGAAGTCACGCGCTTCCATACCAGAGGTACGTACGTACGTACAAGTACTACTCTCTACGGCATGCAGGTGCCACAAAGATTCCATGAAGAAAAAATCTCTTCCCGAATCCGTCCATCGAATCATCGAATCGAATCGAATCGAGTCGTACCTACGTACGTACGTACTTGCGCTCGTACGCTCGAAAACTCCCATCCTACGGTTCCGACCCCCAAAACCTCCCACCACCCAAAGCGCAACAGATGATGGGACGAATCACGCGATGCGATTCGATGTGATGCGATGCGATGCGATGTTTCGTGTCAACCGGCGTCGTGACACCTCGCCTCTTCCCCCGGACACCAAAAAACAAAACGGATCGGTGCCACCCGTTCCGTGCCTTTCGTCCACACACACGAATGTCTCCGGCAGGGATCGGATCGGATTCGACGCCCATCGACGACGACGAATCGACCAAACCGTTTTGCTGTGCGTACCCTGAATACCGTACGGTACTCGTACCCGTGCCGATCCACCGACGGATCGACCGACCGGTGTTCGTTGCTTGCACCGCCTTCGCCCCGAGCCCGGTCGCACCGAGAAGAACGCCATGAGCATCGACCTCCAGTGGGTGCGGAACGACCCGGACCGGGTCCGGGAATTCCAGGCCCTCCGCCGCCGAGCGGGGGCAAGGAAGAACCACGGAAGCGGCGACGGGAACAGCAACAGCAACAGCCATTGCGAGAGCAACGACGGCGGCGGCGGCGAGACCGAGGACCCCGTCGGCAGGGTCCTCCGCCTCGACGGGGCGACCCGGGCCCTGCTGCGGGCCCTGCAGGGCCGCAAGCGGAGGCTCGGGGAGCTGGGACGGGCCCTCCGGCCGGGGCCGGACCCGCTCCCATTCGCCGACCGGGAGGCCCTCCTCCGCGAGAAAAAGGCCCTGCAGGCCTCGATCGTCGAGGAAGAGGCCGCCTGGAGGGCCTCCGAACAAGACACCCTGGCCTGCCTTTGCGAGCTGGCGGGACCGGTGGAGGGTCCCCCCTTGGGGGGCTGGGGGTACGGCGATGGGGACGGCGAGAACGACAGCGACAGCGGCGGAAGGGACGCACGGCGCGAGCTCCCGCCGGTCCTGGGGGGGGAGGCCCACCGGTCGGTCCTCGCCATGGACCTGGCACAGGCCTGGAGGGCCTACACCCTCCGGTGCTTTGGGAACTACCCCTCCGTCGAGCTCCCGCAACCTTGCACCACGCCAAGGGCCGAGAACGACCCCTGGCTCCGCCTGCTGGAGGAGTGCCTGCCGAGGGGCCGGTCGATCTGGGGGGAGAAGGAGCTCCCGAGGTTCGCCGCTGCCTGGAGCGGGGATTCCCGCCTGGATCTCCTGGCCCTCTGCCCCCCGGGGGGCTCCGACGCCCGGGAGATCCAGGCCGACCTCTTTGGCGAGCTCGTCCGGTACTTCGGGCCGCTGGTCGGTGGTTGCGAAACCGAAAGCGGAAGCCGAAGGGTCCTGAAGAGGTACGCGGCCCCACCCCCGGACCTCGACCTTCACGAGTGGAGCCGGCACGAGCTCCACCTGGTGCCCGAGGACCCGGGGGCGGGCCTTCCTTCCGTTTTGCTCGGAGCGGTCTCGCACCGGGGCGACGCCCGGACCCGGGCCAAGGGGATGGCCTTTGCCGGCGGGGGCCTCCTCCGGGCCGGGGGGAAGCACCCGAGGCCGGCTGCCTCCCGGGCCGTGGCGAGGGAGTTTGTCCACCTGGTGCAGGCCTCGGTGGCCGGGCCGTGGACCTGGAACGCGGTCCTGTCCTGCCGCAGGGTGGGGGGAACCCACCTGGAGGTGCCGGCCTGCCTGGTCCCCCACCTGGCGCGGCCGGTTCCCGCTTCCGGCGCCGGTCCGGAGCGGACCGTCCCCCTGGAGGACCTGGTCGTCCCCCGCAGGGGCGGGGGGTCCCGCCTGTTTGGGGAGCGCAAGCCCGCGGCAGCGGAAGGGTTGGCGGCCCAAACGCAAGCTTTTCCGAGGTTCCCGCCCCTCGGGCCCCCCGGACCGGGCGAGCGGGAGCAGCGCGCCCGGTGGGACCGGCTGTCGTGCCCCTTCGGGGTGGTCGTTTCAGGGCCACCGGCCCGGCCGTAGCGGGGGGGCGGCCCTTTGGCAAGGATCCTACCGTACTACAATGCGGTGTGCCATACGGTACCACGATGCAATATAATAATAGAGCCTAGAGATTTACTTTCGCTTGCCGCTATTCTGCTACCGAGGGCTTTGCATATACGTGTATCGAGCGAATCCCACTCACCGGGAATCCGGGGGCAGAGAAAAACTCCCAGTGTAGTCCTAGTGCGCAGCGCAATATAATTCTTGGCTAGAAACGGAAGAGGATCCTCGCAAAGGGACCACGGCGATTGCGGCCACAACAGAGTCGTTTCGTGGGTTGGTCGGATCCCGCATCGCCTGCGCACCAAGGCCAGCGCCGAAGCACCTTGGTGCACCCCGTGCGGATTGCCGTTCGTTCCGGGCGGTGCACGATACAGACTCCGGTGCGACGACCCCATCCCCCCCCCCGGGCGCTGGGTCTTGTGCGCTCGGAGGGAGCCAGGCGCCGTGGCGTTGCGCGTTGCCACGCCGGAAGCAAGCAACCCACCGCAACGGACCGAGTTTCTGGTGCGCTGAGCGCGCCCCGCCGTTCCTCACCGGGTCCACTGGTCGGCGTTGACGGGGGGGTAGGTCTCGACGGTGACGTCCCCGTGGGCAAAGGTCACGCAGGAGAGCCGGTAGCTGTCGGGGTTGGACCGCAGCGTGCTGGCCTCGTCCATGGACTTCCAGTTGGTGTTGGGAAGGCCGTCCGCAATGTTGACGATGCAGGTCCCGCAGAGCTGCTTGCCCTTGCAGTTGGTCCACCGGGTGACGCTCTGGTAGACGTTGATCCCGTTGTCGACCAGGAACTGGCGGACGTTCGCCCCCCGGGGAGCCCGGAGCCTCAGCAGCTTTTCCTCGGGCGATCCCTTGTTCTGGACAACGGTGATCGTGATGGTGTCGTCTCCGTCGGTCCCGGCCGCCTCCCCGTTGCACAGGGCCTTGAGCTCGTCCTTGGTGCCCCTGAAGAAGACCAGGTCGATCTCCGAGACCGTCTTTTCCAGGCCCGCAAAGGACGTCATGACGTAGTCGAAGGACGCCCCCAGCAGGCTGATGGCCTCCGGCCTCGGGGCGTCCTCGTCGTTCACGACGGGGATCAGCTCGCAGAGCTGGTCGCCCTTGCTCACCAGCCCCGACAGGGACGCCTGGCCCGTGGGCTCCATGTCGCGGACGTAGACAAAGGAAAAACTCAGGTCCGTTCCCCACTCGATGCCGGGCGCCCGAGACAGGCGGACCCGGTACAGCCGCTCGTCGACGGAGACGTCGATGCGATCGTCCGCCTCGTCCTTGCTCTCGGCTCCGCTGGGTGGTTCCGCGTCGCCCCCGGCGGAGAGCACCGGAGACAGGCGGTGGAAAGCGGGCGCGCTGGGGTCGGGAGCATGCCTTGGCGGCGCAGGATCGGTGGGGTGCACCAACGGCCCGCGGGTGCCAACAGACGCGGGGGCCGCGAGCCGGAAGGCCTGGCAGCAACCCATCGCTGCCAGGGCCAGCGCAGCAGCGGCCACCATCGCCGCTGCCGAGATTCGCAGGGCCGTCCGCCGGCGGGGGGGGCTTCGAGGGATGGGAGAGCTGCACGTTTCGCACCAAGCCATGGTTTTGGATTCGGAAAGCGGACGGAGGGTTTCTTTTCTTGCAGCGAGGAACGAATCGTGTGACTGCATCGTAACGTCGTTCGATGAATGCTTGTCCCAAACAACAAAGCTACCTTAGAAATTGGATGGGTCGGGAATGATGTGCACGTCGATGCTCGATATCAGTTGTTGTGCCGATCCTCGAGCTTCAAGAAAGATGATTCCATCCGTGTTCTCATTCGCGAGATCGTGTGATACCTGTAAGACTGGTACGTACTGATTCGTCTTCGTACACGTACGTACAGTAGTAACGGTACGGTACTCTTCCTATTTGCGCTCAAAAATTTCATGCGTGGTTTTCTCTCTCTTCTTCCCCGTCACCAATAGTGCATGACTCGTGATCCAATCCAATCACGATACTTCCAAACCGGGACCCGATGCTATGTAGCGGTACGGTAGTACGGCTACGTACGAGTTCTGGTGTGTGGAAGATCAAATAGATAAGCTGCCGTATTTCAGTCGATTCAGTCGGTTCGCGGCCCTCACGCTTGGAACTTTCTGCAAAAACGTGCGTTTCCAATTATTTATTGAGAAAAAAATGTTTTGGTAATACATATTGTGGTACTTCTAATACATATATCATGACTTCTTCTACCATCTAGTAGCACGCTCTCTTGGCACAGGCATTTCATGGTGATACCGTTGCTGCTAGCGCCAATGTTGATGATTGAATAATGATCATGATGTCATTATTAACAACAACGAGATTGCTACCAGTTTTGCCTTATCTTTTTGCGTCCAATGAACAGCACAAACAAGGATTGAAAGTCCTACTACAACCGACCGAATTGTCGAATTCGACTCACAGCCCGATGTATAACGTTGTGTGTTCGCAATGAAGATCTATTGAAATCTTAGTGCTACAACCATAGTAAACGGCTTGGCTCGCAATGATAAGACTAGTAATTTACATATTTTAGTAGCATTATTTGTTTACAGGTTCCCTCCGGACCTGTCTTGGTGTTACGCAGCTCGTCCCACGGGTGAACATTGGCTGGCCAGTTCGTTCGATATGCACTTGAACGATTTGTGCTGACTCGCTTGCTTGAGCGCCAACAGCGACGGCCTAGTCGCCGACAGCTCCAGGAGGCAGTTGTCGTTGTTTTTGTCGCTCTCCCGGTAGACAAATCTGGCTTCCCTCTCGTCGTCGAGTCCGATCCTGTTCGCCTCTGCCTGGCATGGAACCGAATACGTGAGGTACAAAGTTCGGATTGCGTGTGCGTCTTCCTCTTCGCACTCCCATTGGATGGTCTGCTCGTCGAGGACGAGGTCGATGGCTCCAAATTTGTTTGCCCGTCGCTTCTTTTGGCCCTCGGGAAGGTGGTATTCGAGGCCGCGGAGGCAGCGGCCCGAGGAATTTGAGGGATCGTTGTTTTTCACTGCCGTGAGTGTGTCCATGCAATCCGAAACAATGCTTGACATTTCTTCTTGGCTGTACCAGCTTCTTTCGATCTCGCCTTTCGTGTAGTCGTTGATGTGCTCCGTACGGTACACCAGAGAATTCGTTAGAAATCGAACAGACTTCTTCGGTAGAGGAGATGATTCCATCTTGGTTGATATCGTCTTCGATTCTGCTTTTTTCATTGTGACTGTGACAGCGGTGCTCGTCGTGGATGATGTATCGATCATTTTTCTGTAGTTTTGATTTTTGTGTGGCAAGAATTTTTGTCGTGAAAAAATGAACGTCGTCGAAAACGACAAACTGGACGACTGCAGGTCGTGTTGAAAATGCAGAACGTGCAGAACGATGCTCTTTTAGATAATTTCGAGATTCCGGAAGAAATAGACCTCCTTCAATCCCAGATCGGTGGATACATTAAATAAGCAAAGAATAGAATAGAATGGCCTCTCCAAAAATTACTTATCTGTCGTGGTCGCTTGCACATCGTTGCCATGGAAGGCAATATATTTTATTGGTCTTGGAGCTCACATCGAGACTGGGGAAACTTGAAGTTTTTCATTGATCAGGTTTTCTTTTCTTCAACCAAAATATTTTTGACGCGAATAAATTAAATTTTATTAAGCTCCACAATTTTATCTCAACGGAGACCTAAAGCGATCGACACAAAAAAGAGACTGAACACTTCAGTGAGATTTTCCTTTGTCGGAGAAGTGCTAGAAAATACTTGTACGAAGTAGTACGTACCGATACTAGTAATATATCGATACAGTAGCATTATTTTTTGTACGTACGTAAGCTTAAAAGTACTGTTTTCGGTACGGTACTTCTACTTGATCATGAATCCAAAAAATAATATAATCTCGAAGGCTTATGTAGTGGTCTAGCGCTTGACAATGCAGTATCGGGGATGTCTTAGTGATTTGACAACAGAACGTCATATAATTTCTAGAATTGGCGCTTACATATGGGACATGGGTTAGTGAGCTTGAAGTAAATATTGAAGACAACGAGTATGTCAATCCGTACATATTGTATCCTGACAAATAAAAAATTGAAAATATCGACGGCTTTGAAAATAAGATTAGTCGAAAAGGTGCATTGGAAAGCACTGGCGAAGAAAGAACATCCAAGGGTCAGATGGACGCGATGGGTTGCGACATTCCGAATTGAACACCATTAAGTTAGTCTCTACTAGCAACCAGTACGCCATAACAGTAGTAATCATACTGTGGAATCGAGAACGTCACGCACGGTCACTGCGGAAGAATCAGGGGCCTCCGATCTGCTGGAACCCACGAATAGATGACCCTACGGTACAAGTTCTTCTTGTTAGGCCATGTGTTGATTATCCATGGGTGCTGGGGGTCCTTGTTGACCCATGAATCCAAATTTGGGTTATTTGTGGGTCATTACAAAAAATATTGGATCAGAATAAATTCTAATAGATCAAAAAGAAATAACTGACACCAAAATTTTGCCCCCAAATTGTGGATTTTAAAGGCTTGTCCTCCTCCCAGTGGTGCAAGAAGAAGGAGAACCAACAGCAACAAGAAGAAGAAGCAAAAGTCATCCTGGTGTCAACAGAGAGTGAAAAAATCTAGTAGTAGGAGGAAATTGAGAAAGAAATTATTCCTCTGTGTGCATAGTACAACAAATCCATGTGCAAGGTCTGATGAAGGGGCAGCTACTAGTTGAAATTCTCAAAAGCCTCAGCATTATTATGAGGAGTGTCTTTCATCCTCTCTGGTGGCAGTAGTAGGGTACTACTAGGAGTATGATTTGCTTGTGATTGCATAAGCAAGAACAGAGGCAAGAAGATATCTTGATGGACACAGTTTTCACAGACCTCCTCCTCTGGAGATAAAAAAAGTAGTACTGGTACTACTGTACTAGTGCACCAGCTCGCACTTGTTTGAAGCTAGTAGCCTTGTTCTTTCCTTGGCAACAAGAAGCTGCTGGCTGCAGTGGTGGTAGTACTAGCTGCTACTAGTAGTAGCCTCTGAATCTTCTGGTCCATCCACTGAATAAAAAAGGATTGAAGGAGGAGTCCATGTCTGTGGGCATGCTGGTGGTGACTTGCAAAGAAAGTGTCTTTTCATTGCTGGTCTGGGAAAAGGGACAGAAGCAGGAAGCCAAATTGCAGTCAAAGTTCTTACTACTACTACTACTACTACTACTACTACTACTACTACTACTACTACTACTACTACTACTACTAGCATACAAGAGGAAGACGCCACCACCATCACCCCCAGCAGTAGTCAGAGCAGCTTGAACTAGTCTTGTTTAGTGATTATTTCATCTGGTTAGCCAACTATGCAGAAAAATATGCATACTAGAGCTGCTCACTATTGAGTTGGAGATTAGCATCCTCCTTCTTGGTCTCCTCAGCAACACCACCACCACCACCAGCAACAACAAATAAAAAGCTGGTCAAAATGGGATCATGCATCTATTTTAATCCTGCTACCACCAGTAAGAACATTTTGGAAGAATAGCAAAGTTTTATAAAAGTTGTTTTCAGTAGTACTACTACTAAAGAAGAGTAGTACTAATGATGCACAAGAAGTAGTAGGAGGTTTGACTCCATCAACACTATGTGACAGTATAAATTTAGTAATACCACACCATACAAGAAGAAATATGTAACGTGTGGGGATATGCATGGTAGGGGGACTACCATTTGAATCTATTCCACATTTTATCAAATGCAATTGCTTGTTTTCTCTTACACTATTTTTTGTAATACAGGGCTTTAGCAGTATGGGAATAACTCAATTGGTGTTTGTTGGTACTTCATGTACTGAGCAACCTGCTGTAACCCAATTGCCATCAGTAGTATGCCTATAGTGCCATCATTAGTATCCCCATAGTACCACTAGTTGTGGTTGTAAAAACAAAACCCCTGAAGATTCTCCTTGTTATTACCCATTTTACTAGTACTAGCAGTCAAAGTGTTCATTCTTGTAGTGTTTCTTAGTGGAGTGAGATGTTGCATATGTTCTTTACTATTTCTGCATCAGTTTGTACTGCCTGCTAATTATGCCCACATTACTACACTACTAGCATTTAAATTTGTTCAATGTTTGAAAGCTTTACGACTATATTGAAATTTGTTCAAGAATGTTTGTTGTATTCTGCACCTTATTACCTGTTGGTATGAATCAAAACATTTAGGCTTCTTGAAATTCAAAAATGACCACCATTTCTTCCAAAAAGTCATCAATTTCACTTTTTGGACTTGCCAAGTCCAAGAAGAAGAACCTCCAAAGTCCTCATCTGAACACCAGAAAATGGAGACAGCACTAGAGTCCATCAGGTAGCATCCTGCTGTAAAGAAACATACTAGTAAACATACCATTACTGCTACTAGTAGTAATAGAAGAATGGCAAAGAAGGGGGTCAATCTGCTAGATAGTAGTAGACTACTAGCTACTACTACTAGTAGTAGGATGGGATGGTGAAAAAATACTAGATTGCTGAGGTAAAAGAAGGAAATAAGAATAACTACTGCCTACAAAATCACTGGTGTCAGCAATAGCAGCATGCATCAGAATTCTCACAATAACAACAATAACAACAATAACGACAACAACAACAATAACGACAACAACAACAACAACGACAACAACAACAACAACAACAACAACAACAACAAGGATTATGGTGGCATGAAATAGAATATCTAGATGTGAAAAATTGATGGTGGTGTGGCCCCCCTCCTATGGTTGCTTCCAGAAGTGTGCCCTCCAGAGATGATAAGGTTTGTCTACCACTGTTCCCAGTGTTCAAATTGAGAATGGTTCTCTTCGAAGAAGGAGTGGCTGTTTTAATGTCACAGAGTACTAGTACTCTGATATTTTCTTTGTTGGTGGTGATAACATTGAAGCTTTCCTTCTTCTTGATTGACATGACCCCTTGACTAATCCATCTGTTATTGAGCAACACGATTTGGGTTATTCTTGTTCTTTTTTCCCCAGTAAGAAAGAAGAATTTTTAAGGTGAGGGCACTTAGTAACTTCAACTGGTATCATGATGCCTTGTTGTTTGAAGATTATGGATGCCACCAGAAGCTAAAGCTACTAATGATGCTGATGTACAAGAAGTGAAGATGAATGATAAAAAGATCCATAAAGATCCCAATAAAAGGAAGCAAATTCCAGAGTCACTTCAAGGGAAGTTTGCACTTATGCTTAGTACCACATAATTTTGGTGTAGTAGTGCATTACTATCTTCTTGGTCTGCATTACTATCTTCTAGGTCTGACTTGGAGTTGGTACTAGTAGTAGTAGTAGTAGTAGTAGTAGTAGTAGTAGTAGTAGTAG